TAAGGGTCAGGTCAAAAATAGGGTAGGGACAGGAGGGAATATCGCAGATTTTGGTCATAAATAGGGTAAGGGTTTTGGGAAGCGGGCCGCACACCCCCATCCAATTTTTCTGGGAGTACTCCTCGGGGAAATTTGTAAGTTGCTTCATTGAAATTCAATATCAAGTGACGAAAAGAAGTCATTAATAAAAACAGGTAAACGAACGAATCAGGACTTGGAGACCCTTTACCTTCCGAAAAATCGAGACTCCGAGACAACTTCGTATAAAAATCGAGACCGCGAGACGCACATAACCGCTAAAAAATGAGAATGCGAGACTAAAATTTTGCGAGACCGAGAGTTTTTGAAGGACCATTCGCCACCCCTTCAACATTGTCAGCCGAAAAGATCTGTTGTTCCTTACAGCTGTCCTTCATCGAGCAATCATATTTCCCAATCGTACGTGACAATGTTATTCTCCCGCCATTTCTCTGAGCTAGAGATTGGATCCGCAAGGAAACACATCGATGCGTATTTGAATTATTATGGCTCTCAGGGCCAATCAGGGAATGGGATTAAAATAAACAACCGTATTATCAGTTAGATACAAAACTACAACGTAGCTGCATTGCAGCAACTGAACTTGTTTCAGCTTCAACCGCAGCAAACGTATAAACTAGTTCTACAATGTCCGTATCACACAGAAGTTCTGGCGACTGCAGGAAGTGAGGAAAACAATATCCCAACGAAAAAAGCAGCGAAAAGGAAAACAGTTAAGACGAATCATTTCCTCATAAAGAAGAGCAATACTTGGCAAATTTGTAGAAAGACAACTTTGACCAACCCTGGTAAATTGATCTTGGTATCTAGTTACATGTTACTTATTTGGCACGTGCGGGAAACATTTAGCATTCTTGTAAGTGCTAACAGCATTGCAAAAATTCAAACATTGGTGATAACAATATTTTCAATTTTCCTGCAAACAGGAAACGCTAGTTTTCGTCGTAGTGCTAACAAGACTTAAAGAACATAGTAAAAACGTTAAAACAGCGGCCAAAGGCTCCAGAATTGCGAGGCATGCATGGTCTCATGGTTATGTTGTGAATGTACAACTTGACGACCCCAGTGGGGACAAAAACTCTTGCTCACTTACAAGACAATACAGAATTCCGTTTTAACAAACATTTTAAAGTTAATTTTTACATACTATTCAGTGTATTCTTTTCTATCACACTATAGAATTTTCATCCTCTCTTTTATCATTTGACTGTTTAAGACTGCAGTTTAGAAGGTGGAAAGTGATCTTTTAATCGGCATTACATATACTTTAGTTCGCTGGTCTGTCGATCTGACCCGATCAGCCACTAGCCGTCGAGGCGTTCAGCACGGAAGAAAATGAGACAATAAAATGAGTTAACCTTTCTTTGCCAGATATCCTCCGTTCGAAAGTATCATTTGTCAACATGACAATCGCAGCCACTTAACTACGTAAATCAAACACACAAACATCAAGAAAGCTCCATACAAAAAAGCAAAGGATGCAATTAACAGTCTTTTTCTTCTCCCTCAATTAAAGGCGACGAAAGGAGGCTCTAGTGGCAACGATGTAGTATATTAGGACAGCGGTTGTACACGTCAAAGTATACATCCGTGAGAGTGCAAACGCGGGAAGAGAGTGTTGAAACGTATACTGTGTGTACTGTTGTCTTTCGCCTTCGTGGCTGCCTTTTGCGGTTTACTTTTGCTGTTCGACACTACAAATTGGCGATGAGGATGTCGAATTCAGTAGAAAGAGCGCTTCCGCCTTTAGATTTAACAGGTTCTTCCTCTCAGGTCGCANAAGGAAAACAGTTAAGACGAATCATTTCCTCATAAAGAAGAGCAATACTTGGCAAATTTGTAGAAAGACAACTTTGACCAACCCTGGTAAATTGATCTTGGTATCTAGTTACATGTTACTCATTTGGCACGTGCAGGAAACATTTAGCATTCTTGTAAGTGCTAACAGGATTGCAAAAATTCAAACATTGGTGAGAACAATATTTTCAATTTTCCTGCAAACAGGAAACGCTATTTTTCGTCGTAGTGCTAACAAGACTTAAAGAACATAGAAGGAGCGTTAAAACAGCGGGGAAGGCTCCAGGGTAACAAGGCATGCATGGTCTCATGAACATTTCATTGACTAGTTATGTTATGAATGTACACCATGACGACCCCAATGCGAACAATAACTCTTGTTCACTTACAAGACAATACAGAATTCCGTTTTAACAAACATTTTAAAGTTAATTTCTACATACTATTCAGTTTATTCTTTTTTATCAGACTATAGAATTTTTATCGCGTCTTTTATCATTTGGCTGTTTAAGACTGCAGTTTAGAAGGTAGAAAGTGATATTTTAATCGACATGACATATACCAGCCGTGCAGGCGTTGAGCACGGAAGAAAGCCAGACAATAAAATGAGTTAACCTTTCTTTGCCAGACATCCTCCGTTCGAAAGTATTATTTGTCAACATGACAATCGTAGCCACATAACTACGTAAATTAAACACACAAAAATCAAGAAATCTCCAGACAAAAAAAGCAAAGGATGCAATTAACAGTCTTTTTTCTTCTCCCTCAATTAAAGTCGACGAAAGGAGGCTCTAGTGGCAACGATTGCTGACAATCAGAATTAAGTAGCTAAACTTGAATTGTTTTGTATGTAATGGAAGTAGTCTGTTCAGTAAGGGTTTTCAGAGCTATTCAATTGAATTAGCGCTAGGTTTTTTTGAGTGTGTAAATTCCAAATTCTATTTCGCTTGATAGAGGCTAACTTACCAGCTAGTTTTAATGTTAGGAGTGAAAGTGATTGCCCTTTAAACCATTTGGATACTGCTTGTGACTATTACATTATGTCGATAGATAGCTCTTCAGCGACAATTAACTTGGAGCGTGCAGCGCTAAGCTCCTCTGTCAGTCAAGCAATTCAAGTCAAGAAAAGTGATAGCATAACATTTTTTTGGCTTTTTAGGTCAGAGTCCTCCTCATTCAAAGTTTACAAACAACTGCAAAATATATTTCTAGAGGAGTAATGAAAACCTCGGTGGGTTGACTTAAGAGCAGCCTTACCGTCAGTGAAAATCGTAAGGGCTGTTCGCTTGTGATTTTTAACTCTCAATTCTGCGATTTCATCGAAAGGAATACCCTGACAAGAAATGGCGTTTTCTGTGCGCAGTACCAGTAGTTTAATTTTAGCTTAAAAAAATTAATTGCACAAATTTCAAATAGAAGCATTGCTCTTTCGTTTGGTTGTATTTTTAAAATACCGAGCCATGTAAAAAGTTGTTTTTTTCTGCTTTCAATTTGGTCATGTTTTGTCACGCAGTAATCGGTAAAAGAAAATGTAAAATAACAAAAAAATCCTAAAAACATTCTGTGTGCAGCCACATTGTTCATGTAGATTGTTAAGCACTCTTTCTTCTTTTGACTAAAACATTATCTTCTTCAAGATATTTTTGTTCATTTGTGGGTAATTAGTTTAAAAGTCACGCGTTGCTAGCAGCTCTTGACTGAAAACTGATGCGAGTGCGTTCAAGTCGTCATCGTCGCTGTTCGTCTAAAGGAAAAAAAAAAAAAGATCGGACTCATAGTAATTTTACCGATAAAACGTTTCTCTAGACCTACATGAATCCCTCCAGGCGATATTTTGAAATAACTGCTTTTAATCAAGGGCCAAGGACATGCAACATTGCAGAAATACTTTTAGTATTCACTGTTTGGACAGTAAGACATGTAAGAAAGAAGTCACGTTCAGGTTTCCTCTAGACAACTCGATAAACTTAGTAATGATCACCAGCTAGGTAAAGAGCAGTTAAGTTGTAAAAAAACCGTGTTTCTCATAGCATATTGTTACTCTTCTGCCTCTTTCCTAAGATAATGGTAATGATAATACCGATAATACGGTCTTATTTCATTTGATGAAAATACAGATAAGAAGTCAAAATTGATCAACGATGAAGTAATTAAAAATCACTCTAAAATCGCTTTACAAGTTTAAAAAGGTTAATGTAATAAAAAAAAAGGTAAGGCGACTTTCTTACTAATTGTATATTTGAAACATAATTTACCTATTGATGACAGTATTTTTATGGTGTTCAGAGATCGATCATTTTGGAGAGCTGGCTACTGTTACATAGTCACCGGTGGTAATATTTTCTTCTTGTCTCTTAACTGAAACATTAAGCTGGCTAACGCTTAAGTTAACGAAAATGAAAATCAAGGAAGGAAAAATAATTCCCAAGGAACAGTGCTCGCATAAATACACTTGTCAACAATAACTGGTTGACACCCCGAGGGCTCACCATTTTATCAGCACATAAACAAGAAGTAGCTCCCTCTCATAAGTTCCTTACAATCAGATGAATCAAGTACCTCTCGGGAAATGTAATTGCAAAAGATTTTGATTGGGAGTCCTTTTTATCCAAAGTTTATAAGACATTTTCAAAGTAGAAATAGAAAACTCGGCGGGTTGAGTTTTTTCGCGTGCCAAGGGCACTTGATAGTCCAAAAATACTTCTAGTGTCCACTGTTTGCAACCGAAACACTGAAGGTCAACCCTAAAGCTGACGGAAATTAAGAAAAATCAAGATAAGAAAAAAAATCTTTACTTGAACTCAAGTCATCGAATTTGATATTATTAATTTTTCAATTCCATGTGACGAATTCCGTGATTAACTAAATGCCGTTAATGCTCGAACGATTATACTTGTCAAAAATAAGTAGTCCATACCCAAAGGTGATTTCCATATAATTAACGAAAACGTTTGTCTCAGCATGATAGACATCAAAGGGTTATTCTTCGTGAAAACGTATTGTTTGTTAATATGGGATCCTGGCTTATAATTGGTTCAAGTAGATTTTGGGTGTGACATTTAGGTTTAAGGCAGCATCGTCCACGCTGAAGTCTCATTCACCCTGGTGATTTGGAAGCGAGAAGATCGAGGACAACAAGAGCTATATAAGGCAGATATCTTACTTACGTCTACCATCATGGTAAGTGTTGCACCAGGAAAGGTTCTATTTTGTTTTTCAATAACAAATTTACTCTTGATAAGTGACTCAGTGACGTCAGATTTGTCCCAATCTCATTCCGCAGAGTGTGATTAAACCAGAAATGAAGATCAAGCTGAGTATGGAAGGCGCTGTAAACGGGCACAAGTTCGTGATTACAGGGGAAGGAAGAGGCCAGCCTTTCGAGTAAGTAAAAGTTTAGAAATGTAGTTTTACGGTAGGCTCGCCTCGAACATTGCTTAGTTGAAGGAAAAGTTTGTTTTCTTCCCATTGGACAAGATGTCATGCTGAGAATTCGTCTAAAGCCGTATTTCTCTCAGAATATCGCAGCAGATACAGGGTCTATCTGTCTTTCCTTTCATTTTACGACTGTTAAGGTGACAACTAAGAACAAGAAAATCAGGAGCAAGACTTTGAAAAATTTGCTCTTATCCTTGCCTAGGAATCGACACCTAAAATGTACCTAACATCGCTCAATGTGACAGGAATTGTAGGGCTAAAGGTTTTGTTTTGTTCTGTTAAATAATTATGCCAATTCGTAGACTCTATATTTGCTATGCTTAGCCATGCAACATTTACCGGAAATCAAATTTTTGAATACTTTGGTTATATAAGATTAAAGAACGCTCCCTCTGTGGTGTGACCAGACTGTGAGTATCAAGTTATAAACCTCTCCATTTAAAGTTTATCCAGTGATTTCCACCTTGTTTCTAATAAAACATTCCCTTGGTTTCACTTTTCTTTGCCACTAAACGAAGTTGATGTCTTGCTGCAATAAGAGGTGGTTGCGACGTCATTTGTGTCAAAGTCACTGAAAATGTTCCCAGTATTTAAAAGAGCGTGCAACCCATTAACACAGAGAAACGTTCAACTTGCTGCAATGTTTGCGGGTGTAAAAGGAAGCCATTAAATATTTTAATACCAGAATATAACTGATACGGTTCTTAATGTCTGAGGTCAGACTCTCAATGTCCAAAGAAAGATTTACTAGTTTAATTGGCGCTAAATCTAGCAACAGCATGCTGTTGCACCCGACAGAATTGTTTAAGATTGTATTTCAAATCAATCAACCAAAGAAGACTTCTCCCGTCAATTCTCTCAGGAATTTGTAATAGAAAAAAAAGTTCTGCATTGCATATGAATAGTACATCTTCTTACGTCTTTGGTTTCTTGTTTGTGTTTTCGCGGAAAACAGACTATGGATCTGACATTCACTGACGACGGACCTCTGCCAGATCAACAGAAGAAGACCGTGAAATGGGAGCCATCCACTGAGAAAATGTATGTGCGTGATGGAGTACTGAAGGGTGATGTTAACATGGTTCTGTTGCTTGAAGGAGGTGGCCATCACCGATGTGACTTCAAAACTACTTACAAGAAAGATTTTACAATTTGAAATATGCGTTTAAGATATTGTTGACTCACAATAAGGAATGAACGACGAAATTTCATCAAGACATAAGTAATTTTTAGTGATCACTGTTAGAGTGGATCAGTGACTGAAGCTCCGACTGCTAGATTATGGACAACTCATGTCGGGATTGGTGTTGAACACGACTTCAAAGCTATCTGAATCTCAAAGGCAAGATCCAATTAGTTACCCAGCAAACAAACTTACCTACAACGAAATAAACTTGACTTTTGTCAGGGTAGTCAACTTCGGAAGCTGGCAACAATAAGCGCGAGGAGTTTTCACTTTTGAAACGGTATTGTATTTGTTATATGCTGATCGATGCACCGTGTCCAGCGTCACTAATTCGAGTTCATTTGCTCCTTTGCAGAGCTAAGAAGGTTGTCCAGTTGCCAGACTATCACTGTGTGGACCATCGCATTGAGACTACAAAAACAACACGACAAAGATTACAACAAGATTAAGCTGTATGAGCATGCAGAAGGTCATTCTGGGCTGCCAAGGCAGGCCAAGTAAAGGCTTAACGAAAAGCCAAGACGACAACAAGCAGAAGAAAAGTTGTTGTTGTTGCTCTTAATGTTGTTTTTTAATTTAATTTAAAGCCATTTACTCGAAATAAGTGTTTGATACTTTCAGTTTAAGGATTTCTTTTGGGACTTGATAAGCACTAGCTTCCATCTTGTTGTGGAATTACAGCTGTAGTGAAATACAAGTAAGAAAACAATAGTGAGAATAAGCTTGTTGTCGAAACCAGGTTTTGTAGAGTGTTCTTATCATAGAGTACCGACTTTCCAAAGATTTTGAATTGTGTTCCTTCCCCTTCTTCTCACCTTTTCTTTGTTTTAAACCATCAAATACGACAAGAATGGTTCAAGATTTAAAAAGTGTTTATGAAGTTGCGTGATTCTCTACGTGATCTGTAATTACTGACGAATTTTGCCCCGTCATTTTGGGACATCGGGGCTCGGTCCTGAAACCTATACTTACGAATATGCTTTAGCAGTGATGGGCTCCTGGCTTTAGTTGATTTTCCAACTTCTAGTAAATGCATGCATTATTTGAAGAACTCAAAGAAAGAAAGTTCTGTGATGTGTCCTTTATATATATCAATCCAATTTTAGTTCAGGATATTTATCTCAATTTGGGTGCTGCCTCGATCCTGTTGTGAACCGCTTATTTGATCAACCTTAGGTTTCTCTCCGGTGAATAGTTTTTAGTAACATTTACTGTTATTATTACCAGTGAAAGCTGCATTGAAAGATTTTAGGTATAAGTTTAACATGAGTGAAAAATATGGTTAGTTACAAAAATAGCGTGATGAACATATGCTAGCAATCTTTTGAGCCTTTAGATGTTAGGGAAAGATAATCAGTGTATGTCCATTTAATTAAGCGTTCGAAAATACAGATAATTAGCAATTTTGAGAATAGGATTTTGAAAAGGAGGTATACGGTCAGTAAATAACAGAGAAAAACTTTCTGAGAAGGGTAATCCAGAGAAGAAGGAAAAAGGTCGACAGGAATCAAGAGTACGGTATTAAATACATATTGCAAGTGAACTTGTTTTGGCTGCTTTACGACAAGGAGTACCTCGCTCTCTGTGCGGCATTCTTTAACAAAAAAGGCCAAAAAAACAAATGACCAAATTGAGAAAAAAAAAAAAACAAAAAACAAAAAGAAAAAACAAAACAAAACAAAACAAAACAAAACTTGTTACATGGTGTGGTATTATAAAAAAAAGCCAAATGAAAGAGCAATGCTTCTTGAAATGTGTGCAGTTAAATTAATGTGTATAATATTAAATCAAGAAATTTAACAGCGCGAAATGCAACTGGTATGCAAGTGGTACCTCGTCAAAAAATTGCCATTTCATGTCGAGGTATTTTGATTGATAAAATCGCGAAATTGTGTGTTAAAAATCACAAGGACCCACAAGCGAACAACCCTTACCATTTTTACTAACGGGACGACTGCTCTTAAATCAACTCACCGAGGTTTTCATTATTCCCCTAAAAACATATTTCGCAGTTGTTTATAAACTTTGAATAAGGAGGACTCACCTTTCTGGACTGACGTAGGAGCTTGGCGCTGCACGCTTAAACCTAATCCTCACTGAACAGCTATGTATCGTAACAGACACAGGTAGTATCAAAAGGTCCAAAAGGGTAATCATTTTCACGCCTAAAATTAAAACTAGCCGATAAGACAGGCTCTATCAAGCAAAACAATAATGGGAATTTACACAAGCAAAATGACCCAGAGATAATTCAGTTGAATAGCTCTGAAAACCCTTTCTGAAGAGCCTACTTTAAATACAGACAAAACAATTTATATTCAGCTAACTAAATTCTGCTTATCAAAAATCGTTACCGCTAAAAGCTTTCTTATGTCGCTTTTAAAGTATCAGTGTACCCCAAATGACAACCTCGCGTTGCCGCTGCTTCACGGTCACACGTTTCATAACACCCCCAATAAAGAATATATTTTCTGAAAACTTAGTAATTTCAGATTCCGATTATTACTTGACACAAGGCAAGAAATAAAACCCTTTCCTAAACTAGCGATCATTTTCCAGAAGTATGTGGTTTCACAAATTGAGTTCGTTTCCGGTCAGAATTTAACGGGAGAAAGCAAGCGGGATCGCTACGTTTTCTTCACACCTTGATCTAAAAAATCGTGTCGGGGAATTTTGATTACTTGTCTGGTTTGTTTTTAATACGCTGTTGAGCTTTAAGTTTTTATAAAACACGCATTACCTTTGTTTAAATANAATTGCACAAATTTCAAATAGAAGCATTGCTCTTTCGTTTGGTTGTATTTTTAAAATACCGAGCCATGTAAAAAGTTGTTTTTTTCTGCTTTCAATTTGGTCATGTTTTGTCACGCAGTAATCGGTAAAAGAAAATGTAAAATAACAAAAAAATCCTAAAAACATTCTGTGTGCAGCCACATTGTTCATGTAGATTGTTAAGCACTCTTTCTTCTTTTGACTAAAACATTATCTTCTTCAAGATATTTTTGTTCATTTGTGGGTAATTAGTTTAAAAGTCACGCGTTGCTAGCAGCTCTTGACTGAAAACTGATGCGAGGGCGATCAAGTCGTCATCGTCGCTGTTCGTCTAAAGGAAAAAAAAAAAAGATCGGACTCATAGTAATTTTACCGATAAAACGTTTCTCTAGACCTACATGAACCCCTCCAGGCGATATTTTGAAATAACTGCTTTTAATCAAGGGCCAAGGACATGCAACATTGCAGAAATACTTTTAGTATTCACTGTTTGGACAGTAAGACATGTAAGAAAGAAGTCACGTTCAGGTTTCCTCTAGACAACTCGATAAACTTAGTAATGATCACCAGCTAGGTAAAGAGCAGTTAAGTTGTAAAAAAACCGTGTTTCTCATAGCATATTGTTACTCTTCTGCCTCTTTCCTAAGATAATGGTAATGATAATACCGATAATACGGTCTTATTTCATTTGATGAAAATACAGATAAGAAGTCAAAATTGATCAACGATGAAGTAATTAAAAATCACTCTAAAATCGCTTTACAAGTTTAAAAAGGTTAATGTAATAAAAAAAAAGGTAAGGCGACTTTCTTACTAATTGTATATTTGAAACATAATTTACCTATTGATGACAGTATTTTTATGGTGTTCAGAGATCGATCATTTTGGAGAGCTGGCTACTGTTACATAGTCACCGGTGGTAATATTTTCTTCTTGTCTCTTAACTGAAACATTAAGCTGGCTAACGCTTAAGTTAACGAAAATGAAAATCAAGGAAGGAAAAATAATTCCCAAGGAACAGTGCTCGCATAAATACACTTGTCAACAATAACTGGTTGACACCCCGAGGGCTCACCATTTTATCAGCACATAAACAAGAAGTAGCTCCCTCTCATAAGTTCCTTACAATCAGATGAATCAAGTACCTCTCGGGGAATGTAATTGCAAAAGATTTTGATTGGGAGTCCTTTTTATCCAAAGTTTATAAGACATTTTCAAAGTAGAAATAGAAAACTCGGCGGGTTGAGTTTTTTCGCGTGCCAAGGGCACTTGATAGTCCAAAAATACTTCTAGTGTCCACTGTTTGCAACCGAAACACTGAAGGTCAACCCTAAAGCTGACGGAAATTAAGAAAAATCAAGATAAGAAAAAAAATCTTTACTTGAACTCAAGTCATCGAATTTGATATTATTAATTTTTCAATTCCATGTGACGAATTCCGTGATTAACTAAATGCCGTTAATGCTCGAACGATTATACTTGTCAAAAATAAGTAGTCCATACCCAAAGGTGATTTCCATATAATTAACGAAAACGTTTGTCTCAGCATGATAGACATCAAAGGGTTATTCTTCGTGAAAACGTATTGTTTGTTAATATGGGATCCTGGCTTATAATTGGTTCAAGTAGATTTTGGGTGTGACATTTAGGTTTAAGGCAGCATCGTCCACGCTGAAGTCTCATTCACCCTGGTGATTTGGAAGCGAGAAGATCGAGGACAACAAGAGCTATATAAGGCAGATATCTTACTTACGTCTACCATCATGGTAAGTGTTGCACCAGGAAAGGTTCTATTTTGTTTTTCAATAACAAATTTACTCTTGATAAGTGACTCAGTGACGTCAGATTTGTCCCAATCTCATTCCGCAGAGTGTGATTAAACCAGAAATGAAGATCAAGCTGAGTATGGAAGGCGCTGTAAACGGGCACAAGTTCGTGATTACAGGGGAAGGAAGAGGCCAGCCTTTCGAGTAAGTAAAAGTTTAGAAATGTAGTTTTACGGTAGGCTCGCCTCGAACATTGCTTAGTTGAAGGAAAAGTTTGTTTTCTTCCCATTGGACAAGATGTCATGCTGAGAATTCGTCTAAAGCCGTATTTCTCTCAGAATATCGCAGCAGATACAGGGTCTATCTGTCTTTCCTTTCATTTTACGACTGTTAAGGTGACAACTAAGAACAAGAAAATCAGGAGCAAGACTTTGAAAAATTTGCTCTTATCCTTGCCTAGGAATCGACACCTAAAATGTACCTAACATCGCTCAATGTGACAGGAATTGTAGGGCTAAAGGTTTTGTTTTGTTCTGTTAAATAATTATGCCAATTCGTAGACTCTATATTTGCTATGCTTAGCCATGCAACATTTACCGGAAATCAAATTTTTGAATACTTTGGTTATATAAGATTAAAGAACGCTCCCTCTGTGGTGTGACCAGACTGTGAGTATCAAGTTATAAACCTCTCCATTTAAAGTTTATCCAGTGATTTCCACCTTGTTTCTAATAAAACATTCCCTTGGTTTCACTTTTCTTTGCCACTAAACGAAGTTGATGTCTTGCTGCAATAAGAGGTGGTTGCGACGTCATTTGTGTCAAAGTCACTGAAAATGTTCCCAGTATTTAAAAGAGCGTGCAACCCATTAACACAGAGAAACGTTCAACTTGCTGCAATGTTTGCGGGTGTAAAAGGAAGCCATTAAATATTTTAATACCAGAATATAACTGATACGGTTCTTAATGTCTGAGGTCAGACTCTCAATGTCCAAAGAAAGATTTACTAGTTTAATTGGCGCTAAATCTAGCAACAGCATGCTGTTGCACCCGACAGAATTGTTTAAGATTGTATTTCAAATCAATCAACCAAAGAAGACTTCTCCCGTCAATTCTCTCAGGAATTTGTAATAGAAAAAAAAGTTCTGCATTGCATATGAATAGTACATCTTCTTACGTCTTTGGTTTCTTGTTTGTGTTTTCGCGGAAAACAGACTATGGATCTGACATTCACTGACGACGGACCTCTGCCAGATCAACAGAAGAAGACCGTGAAATGGGAGCCATCCACTGAGAAAATGTATGTGCGTGATGGAGTACTGAAGGGTGATGTTAACATGGTTCTGTTGCTTGAAGGAGGTGGCCATCACCGATGTGACTTCAAAACTACTTACAAGAAAGATTTTACAATTTGAAATATGCGTTTAAGATATTGTTGACTCACAATAAGGAATGAACGACGAAATTTCATCAAGACATAAGTAATTTTTAGTGATCACTGTTAGAGTGGATCAGTGACTGAAGCTCCGACTGCTAGATTATGGACAACTCATGTCGGGATTGGTGTTGAACACGACTTCAAAGCTATCTGAATCTCAAAGGCAAGATCCAATTAGTTACCCAGCAAACAAACTTACCTACAACGAAATAAACTTGACTTTTGTCAGGGTAGTCAACTTCGGAAGCTGGCAACAATAAGCGCGAGGAGTTTTCACTTTTGAAACGGTATTGTATTTGTTATATGCTGATCGATGCACCGTGTCCAGCGTCACTAATTCGAGTTCATTTGCTCCTTTGCAGAGCTAAGAAGGTTGTCCAGTTGCCAGACTATCACTGTGTGGACCATCGCATTGAGACTACAAAAACAACACGACAAAGATTACAACAAGATTAAGCTGTATGAGCATGCAGAAGGTCATTCTGGGCTGCCAAGGCAGGCCAAGTAAAGGCTTAACGAAAAGCCAAGACGACAACAAGCAGAAGAAAAGTTGTTGTTGTTGCTCTTAATGTTGTTTTTTAATTTAATTTAAAGCCATTTACTCGAAATAAGTGTTTGATACTTTCAGTTTAAGGATTTCTTTTGGGACTTGATAAGCACTAGCTTCCATCTTGTTGTGGAATTACAGCTGTAGTGAAATACAAGTAAGAAAACAATAGTGAGAATAAGCTTGTTGTCGAAACCAGGTTTTGTAGAGTGTTCTTATCATAGAGTACCGACTTTCCAAAGATTTTGAATTGTGTTCCTTCCCCTTCTTCTCACCTTTTCTTTGTTTTAAACCATCAAATACGACAAGAATGGTTCAAGATTTAAAAAGTGTTTATGAAGTTGCGTGATTCTCTACGTGATCTGTAATTACTGACGAATTTTGCCCCGTCATTTTGGGACATCGGGGCTCGGTCCTGAAACCTATACTTACGAATATGCTTTAGCAGTGATGGGCTCCTGGCTTTAGTTGATTTTCCAACTTCTAGTAAATGCATGCATTATTTGAAGAACTCAAAGAAAGAAAGTTCTGTGATGTGTCCTTTATATATATCAATCCAATTTTAGTTCAGGATATTTATCTCAATTTGGGTGCTGCCTCGATCCTGTTGTGAACCGCTTATTTGATCAACCTTAGGTTTCTCTCCGGTGAATAGTTTTTAGTAACATTTACTGTTATTATTACCAGTGAAAGCTGCATTGAAAGATTTTAGGTATAAGTTTAACATGAGTGAAAAATATGGTTAGTTACAAAAATAGCGTGATGAACATATGCTAGCAATCTTTTGAGCCTTTAGATGTTAGGGAAAGATAATCAGTGTATGTCCATTTAATTAAGCGTTCGAAAATACAGATAATTAGCAATTTTGAGAATAGGATTTTGAAAAGGAGGTATACGGTCAGTAAATAACAGAGAAAAACTTTCTGAGAAGGGTAATCCAGAGAAGAAGGAAAAAGGTCGACAGGAATCAAGAGTACGGTATTAAATACATATTGCAAGTGAACTTGTTTTGGCTGCTTTACGACAAGGAGTACCTCGCTCTCTGTGCGGCATTCTTTAACAAAAAAGGCCAAAAAAACAAATGACCAAATTGAGAAAAAAAAAAAAACAAAAAACAAAAAGAAAAAACAAAACAAAACAAAACAAAACAAAACTTGTTACATGGTGTGGTATTATAAAAAAAAGCCAAATGAAAGAGCAATGCTTCTTGAAATGTGTGCAGTTAAATTAATGTGTATAATATTAAATCAAGAAATTTAACAGCGCGAAATGCAACTGGTATGCAAGTGGTACCTCGTCAAAAAATTGCCATTTCATGTCGAGGTATTTTGATTGATAAAATCGCGAAATTGTGTGTTAAAAATCACAAGGACCCACAAGCGAACAACCCTTACCATTTTTACTAACGGGACGACTGCTCTTAAATCAACTCACCGAGGTTTTCATTATTCCCCTAAAAACATATTTCGCAGTTGTTTATAAACTTTGAATAAGGAGGACTCACCTTTCTGGACTGACGTAGGAGCTTGGCGCTGCACGCTTAAACCTAATCCTCACTGAACAGCTATGTATCGTAACAGACACAGGTAGTATCAAAAGGTCCAAAAGGGTAATCATTTTCACGCCTAAAATTAAAACTAGCCGATAAGACAGGCTCTATCAAGCAAAACAATAATGGGAATTTACACAAGCAAAATGACCCAGAGATAATTCAGTTGAATAGCTCTGAAAACCCTTTCTGAAGAGCCTACTTTAAATACAGACAAAACAATTTATATTCAGCTAACTAAATTCTGCTTATCAAAAATCGTTACCGCTAAAAGCTTTCTTATGTCGCTTTTAAAGTATCAGTGTACCCCAAATGACAACCTCGCGTTGCCGCTGCTTCACGGTCACACGTTTCATAACACCCCCAATAAAGAATATATTTTCTGAAAACTTAGTAATTTCAGATTCCGATTATTACTTGACACAAGGCAAGAAATAAAACCCTTTCCTAAACTAGCGATCATTTTCCAGAAGTATGTGGTTTCACAAATTGAGTTCGTTTCCGGTCAGAATTTAACGGGAGAAAGCAAGCGGGATCGCTACGTTTTCTTCACACCTTGATCTAAAAAATCGTGTCGGGGAATTTTGATTACTTGTCTGGTTTGTTTTTAATACGCTGTTGAGCTTTAAGTTTTTATAAAACACGCATTACCTTTGTTTAAATACTCATTACTTTCGAAGGAGGCAAAAACTAAAAATTCCCCGACACGGTTTTTTTGCCACATTATCGGGCAACATTCTTGCCAAATTTCAGCGAAAAAGGATGAAAACTCGCTGTAAACGAACTGGAAACGTGTGCCTCATTCGTTGAAATTTTAGTTTTGAGAAATAAAGCAAAATGTACTTTAGGGCGTTTTTCTGGGTAGGGAGATTAGATCTCAAAACGTGTGAAAAGTAATTACCTGTTGATCGATAAAGTGAGGGCTCTTCTTACTTCGACAATAGAGCTCACATTTACAAATAGTCCCACCAAGCAGTCTCAAATGCTGTTTCTGGCGGGAAATACCAACAAAGATCTCTGTCACTACACTCGCTGTTTTGGACGCACTGGATGCAATAACTTTACGATGCCGAAGGCCAAAACTAAGGGATCTAAAAAGTGCGATGGAGGAAGCAACGGAAATTTGAACGGCGAATCCGCAAAAGAAACCATGCTTTCGGAAATGAGAGTATCAGGGTAAGACCGCCTTTTACACCAACTATTAGTAGTTTTACTTTATATATTAATACTACGGTGAATCTTCTATAATAATATGGCGCCGTAAAATGCTGGGATATATTTTGTGAAAACTGGGAGCCTCGAACGCGAACTGCGCTCAAACGGAGCGGCTGCGACTCAAAACTGTTTAGAAAACATGACAGCGCGTATTTGGGAATATAGAACAAATGTAAATGGAATGGTTAGTAGTCGAATGGTTTTTCCGTGAGTATTTTGAAACAATCGGACCGTCCAGTTCTAGCAATTTATCTTGCTCAAAGTACGAGCCTTTGTCACTAGCGGCGAGCGCTTCGGCCCATTCCTTATGAAATACTTTTGAGGTTTTCCATCTCGGTGCCTTTTTCGCACTTGAAAAAGGACATGATCTTTTGCGTTTCATTTTTGAAGACGTTTTGCACTACAAACAAATCGATTACGCGTGACAGACTAATCGCGCGTTGCAAAGCAAAACATGCTGCGCTTCTATCAAGTGACTTTTAATGGCGGTTTAATTGATCATGACAACTTGCATTCTCGGAGACCCAGGGGCTACTAGCCGGGACGATGCGATGTCTTCGGCGCGAAATTTTACTTCAAGAGCTGAAGAACTCTTCAGCTCTTGAAGTAAACTTTCGCGCGAAAATATCGCTGGCCCGGAAATATCGCTTCGTCCCGGCTAGTAGCCCCTGGGTCTCCGAGGATGGACAACTAAATGTCTTGTTGAGAGCTTCCAGTTAGAGATAATTTATTCATAAAATCGTTTTTTCCTTATAACTTTGTCTAGGAGAAACCTTTTTTCTCAGAACTTTTTGCAATTAAAAGATCTCAATGAGATGTACTTAGCTCTTATCAACCGAGCGGGAGGTCTGTATGGGAGAATCTTGACCGAGGTCGTCAGTACAGACCGAACGCAGTGAGGTCTGTACCAGTGACCGAGGTCAAGATTCTCCCATACAGACCGACCTAGCTCGGTTAATAAGATGTTTATTATATGGCCAAACAATAAAGCAAAGGAACAAAAACATAAATAATTTTACTTGCTTCCCTGCGCGGGCTCAAGTATTTAGCTGGCTTTCTTATGTCACTAGTCTCCAGTCCAAACGGGACAAAATAACTTTCAAAGTCCAGCTTTCAGGACTGAAATTTGCCAACGTTTGCTCATTTTCTTTACCTGCTTCCTCGTGAAGGTCTACTGATTCTTCTATTTAGTATTATTACCAGGAACAAGCCAATTTTTTCATATTCTTTGTTCGTAACTTTTTGAGGACAACTGTGACAACAAGATCGGTCTAGATGCCGGTCTACATGGGAAAATCTAGTCCTCGGTCAATATCGATTTCAGCCAATCAAATTTGTGAATTCGGTAGTTCCCAGTCCTTGTGAGACACAGCCATATAATAATTGGCAATATGAATAACTAAAATTTAGCAAAATTGTCGATTTTAGGGTTACCGTATACTGATACCTTAATTGAGGGAGGAGAAAAAGATTGCTAAATGTATCCACACAACCGTAGCTTTTGCACCGAGCTTTCTTGATTTTTTTGTTTAATTTACGTGGTGTATTTGGCTGCGATTGTCATGTTGATAGATAATACTTTCGAATAGAGGACGTCTGCAAGAAAAAGGTTAACTCACAATAATTATACTTTGACTTTCTTACGTGCTCAACGCCTCGACGGCTAGTGGTTGATCGCTGGTCAGATCGATAGACTAGCGAACTAAAGTGTCCACTAAAAGATCTATTTAAAACACAAGTTTTGGAATGCCCAAGCCGCAGTCTTCAACGGTCAAATGATGAAAGAAGCGATAAAAAGCCTAAAGTACATTGTGATAAAAAGAGAACAATAACATATGGAAATACACTTTAAAATATTTGGGAAAAAGAATACTGTATTGTTTTACGAGTGGGCAAGAGAACCGGTACCCAGCACAGTATGAAACATAAGAAGAGGCGTTTGTCAACAGTAAATTCAATTTTACAACGAAAATGACCATCCATACTCGTTTACGACACTTGAAATTAATCCGTATGGTCCCATTTTACAAGTATTCGGACACGCGTCGACATCGCGTTCACTTTTCAGGGGTCGCGTGCCAAAGATGCTAATTCATCTAGTGTTCACTCAGCCTGAAAAATACGAAGGAATATGAATAAAATAAACCTACTTCGCTTCAAGTGTGTGTTTCCTTGTTTCTCGTGAGGTTTCTAGGTCAATTTATGGTCATTTAGGTGGTTTTAGCTTCACTGTCTTGTCCTCTGTGTAACTTATATATTCTTGGTTTTCACTCACGTGATCAACAGCCGTGTTTTCTCACCGAAACAAAGAAAAGATTGACATAAAAATAGAGTTCAATTCCCGGAGGTTAAATTTTGGGCTCCAACATGGCCGTCGTTTCTTTGTTTAGGGGTTCCAACATGGCCGCCGTGACGTCAGGTGAAAACCAAGAATAGATATCATTGAGGAAGGTTTTGTGCAGAGCGATTCAGTGGTGAAAATGGCCACGCTTTCTATGCCATGGTTAACGCTGACAAAATAACGTATATAAGTTAGATAAGTTATTATAGAGTATTGTAGAAGTTATTGACCCTCAACTCGGCTCCAATTTCAAAAAAAAAAAAAAAAAAAATGTGGCTTCCCCAATTTTTTCTTTTTGGATTCCAATAGCCCTTGGAGAGATCTACTTTTTTTGGGAGGTCCTAACCTGGTGCAAAAACCTTTGTATTTAGTAGGCAC